AAAATTTTCAGATGCAGAAAAAATATTTTTAATCTTAACATAGAAATTACTTTGTACTCGGAGCAGTCGACACTCTGAAACCACATAATTACAGACAAAGTTTTAGCGTAAATACTTAATTAAAAATTCCAATTTTTTGTCAACAAAAGACTTTTAATGTTTACCGAAAACATGTCAGATTTCATGAAGATACAGTAAGTACTTTAAGTCACAGTACGCATCACCACACGAGCCAGTTGCAATAGGGTTAAATCTGTGGAATAGTTCAACTGATAATGTGGTGTAAATCAATAATAAATTTATGTTGAACCAGCTTATAAATGGGAAATGATTTCCACTTGGTCACAGGTAACTTTAATTTAGGCCGATTGTCCCGCTGCCTCCTTATTGTACTGAAGTCCTTATAAACACAACAATGTTGGGCATATTAATTATAAATTTAAGAAGTAAAATGTATGACTATTGTAAACAATGTTCCACTGCTAGTAGAGTAACACAAAATATATTGATTTACAATCAATATTTACCAGCTTAGTGAGTTGATATCAATGGAAGATAACCTCAGCTCTGTACACCAGATGTAATAATGCAGCTTTTCTTATTGGATAGCCTTACAGAAGTGTTCAGAAATATCTCAAGTTTAAATGGAACATTACGCTTACTAGCTTTACAAAAATAAAACAATATGAGCCTCAGCATTATAGACTATGTAATATTGACTACATCTTTAATCGAAATAATCACCAAAATATTCATTAACATGTCAATGAAACTTGATAAATTAAGATTAAGAAAGTTAATAGTCATGAAGCAATGAGATTGAATAATAGGGAAATAAAAACACACACCGAGTGACAAACAAGACTACAACATACCCAAGTGCTTCAACCGTGATATTGTAGATTCCTGGAAGAAGTAAACGCCAGAACTCCCCTCTTCGTGTACTCGTAACATTGTGATCGATACTTGCAACTTTGATAAATGCTTTTTCAATTCCTAGTCCATTTTTGTCTTTCACCAAACCCCGAACTCCAAGATTAACCTAAATAATTACAATGAAAATATCAGAAACAATATTTGTTACGAGCCACGCGGTTCTCAAACTGTAGTTTTGAACAAGGTTGGGTAAGCTTCAGTGTACTTGAAAATTAACTTTCCAGTTTAATCTGCTTTATAAATACTCTTAAGAATATTGAAAATCATGTGAAATTCACCCTAAATACATCCACCAGGATGATTCATGCATGTACAATGTTAAAATTAAATCCCTTTCCAACTGTGCTTATAAAGCTATAGTTGGTTATTTTCCACATGATCAGCCACCTACCACCCACTGCTTCGGATATTTCAACAAGGCTCTTGCAAAAAATTACTCTGCCCACCCCTAGTGTAGAAAACATTGTACTAGAATATCTGATGGAGCTACAAATCTTGTTAAACTATAAAATAAATAACACCGTACATTCGTACATTTTATAAAATAATAACTTTTTCGGGGGGGTGGAATTATCGCACAATACTTCAAATTACTCCCACACAAACACTGATTCTGATCACTTGATACTTAAACCAAAATTGTCACCTTGTATGTTTACTTCAGCTTATATACAAAATAAAGTCTTCTTTTGTAAGGCTAACGTATTTAATAAAACAGTGGTCCCTAATTATCTTCCACACTAGCCCACTTTGGATGTTACCTGTAAAGACAACAGTCATTCCCCCAAGTATAGTTAAGTTTCACTTACATCTATGAAGTGTGGGAGGGGGCAATAACACTGAAGCTCAATTCTTGTCTGTTTTATATCTAATAAATGACCCAAGAATAAGTAAAAAGGAATATTTTTCTTATAAAATGCAAGATTATTAACAAAAGTTGCAAGGATTATTGCAAGTAAAGTAAGTTAATATACTAAATACTAACAGCCGATATATGTAAGATGCAACACTGGTTCATGCAAGTTACTTACCACACTTCAGGTGGCCAATGTTTAGTTTTCTTATGGCCAGCAGCAAAAGATATAACATATTCTTTGTTCTTGCTGTCGACAATAGTACTTTGCATCTATTTACTTCTTAAAATTTAATTAAGTATATCACAATTTATACCATTCTCTGCCCAGTAAAACTATAGTATAGTTGTATCATTAAAAGTAAAATATTATGTGTGATACAAAGTTTTCGTGATATTACAGCAGCTGGCTAGAAACGGAGACTAAGAACTAAGTGTTGATTAAGAAACCTGTGGCATACGTTACAGTAAAATATCATTAATTGTCTGACTAGCCATTTTACAGTAAAATATCATTAATGTCTGACTAGCCATTTTACAGTAAAATATCATTAAATGTCTGACTAGCCATTTTACAGTAAAATATCATTAATTGTCTGACTAGCCATTTTACAGTAAAATATCATTAATTGTCTGACTAGTCATTTTACAGTAAAATATCATTGTCTGACTAGTCATTTTACAGTAAAATATCATTAATTGTCTGACTAGTCATTTTACAGTAAAATATCATTGTCTGACTAGCCATTTTACAGTAAAATATCATTGTCTGACTAGCCAATTTACAGTAAAATATCATTGTCTGACTAGCCATTTTACTGTAAAATATCATAAATTATCTGACTAGCCATTTTACAGTAAAATATCATTAATTGTCTGACTAGCCATTTTACAGTAAAATATCATTAATTGTCTGACTAGTCATTTTACAGTAAAAT